ATTCCTATTCACTATTATTACTTTTCTATCAGGCTGCAGTTGTTGTATCGTAAACTACTATCTATATGAGTTTGAATTAACTATATTTGTATATGATAGATTACACCACTTTAGAAGTTTCAAGTGTTCAGTGATATGATACCAAACGCTACCAATTGTGATAACCTTATGATTATTAATTTCTGATAATAGTCGACTTGGAATTAATATTAATAGATAACTTGGATAGATAAAAGATGTAGACTCACTCTATATCTCCAGACCTAATAATAAAAATGTAACTTTACCAATATAACCAATATTGACTAAGTAATACATATTACATAATGGGATCCATGATCTAACTTAACACTTTTTTTAGATCTCATATTTAATTACCAACAATTATTAATAGTTAATAGCTACCTGGACTCTTACTATATGCATTATCTATGAGACATAATAGAAGTTATTGTTGAGAATTAGCACCTTTATGTATTGAATAAACCAGATATATTCTCAATTGTATTCTATGACTATTATGTAATTATTTGTACACAGAATTATAGCAATGTTCTTTACTTTTTATGCAGAACATGCTTTTAATAATATACAAAAAGTGCAAATAAAATTAAGGTATGATACGAGAAAATCTTTAGTTTTATTTATATGGATATCAAGTGATTTTCCTCCACGAACAGTAAAATATGTATAAATAGTTTCGTTGTTTGTTATCTGTTATAATCTCATTTTTTCTATGTATTTCATTCTGGAATATTTTATTTCAAGAGAATAAGAAAATTTATCTAAGATGTTATTGACACTAGCAGTCATATGTTAATTCATGGTCTCTGTATCAAAACCTTTTTAAAAATTATTATAATATTAACATGATGAACTGATATAAACTTATAATAGAATATTGGTAGTATGATGAGTTCTCAGTTTACTTATAATAGGGTTGGTGGTGCTGTGAATTTATCTCATGTTGCTTAGTTTTTTATTCTACATAACTAAAATACATGATATTGTGTCACTCATTTAATATGATAAATTTAGATTACTAAAGATATCTTCAATTATATTTCAATAAGCCATAAACACAGCAATACCCTATAACACCACGACAATATCTCACTAGTCAGATTTATTTCTATACATTATATTCTCTTCTCTCTATCATACATTTAATATTTTGAAGTGCTATGTGCATTAATACATCTACTTCTACTGATATCCTAGTAATAGCTCTTATTAAATTACACTACCCACTACAACTATCACTTTGCACAATACTATCTTTTATTGTGTATTATGCCATACCATAGCAAACAATATAGAATAGCCACTTATTCATTCTTACACGACTTTCTTGATCTAGACCTACTGGTTAGTTAATATAACACTGCTTGCAGAACTGTAACTGCCAAAATATGCTAAAATTGTCTTCTTATCTTTTCATTCTTTTTCTTTTCTGAAATCCAATTTTTCTTAAATTCCAAAAACTTTTTTCAATCAAATAAAAACAACTCAAACAGATATCAATCACTGCACCACACAAACACTGATGTAAACAATACAAAGGAAACCTGCTTACAGACAAGAACACATCCTCAGTTGAGATCTATGCACTTCACAAATTCACATTATATAACATTGAGATACTCCCATTCAACATGATATAATTATTCCATAAATATATTTGATACAGCCAACCAAGATATCCTTAACTATAGAGAGTATATTCACGACAATCCACTTTGTACATGGGTTATTACTAAGGAAGATATTTATAAACAAAATACATCTATCTTTATGGTATGGTTGCTCTATTGCTATGAGTATTTACAAATACATAAACACAAACACTTACAGTATCTTTTACCTAAATGATATAATCTGATAACATATCAATTTCACATAGTGATCACTTCAATACTACTACCATGAAATCTATTCATATGGATGAACCTCACAGTATAATTATCAACACTATGCCAACTATCATCGTACTACTACCCAACTACATCACAAATATTGCATTAAAATCACTCACAAAAATACACCCTACCAATAACCAAGATTAAATTTCTTCATGAAAATTTATTCATTATTACTGACTGTCAAGTGGTAAAATTCCATAATACTGTTGTCAGTTCTTACAACACCAACATAATATCCAACAATGAACAATATTAAATCAAATAATACACATATATGAACATGTAATTATACTGTAATTAAAAACAAAAATGGTTTAAGTGCGAGATACACAACAGAAAGTAGGTTTTTTACTGATCTGTAGGAATTATTTTATCTGAGTTACCATATTTATATACAATTGAGAAAAGTGGAATAGTATTTGTTTTGAGTATTACTATCAAATGATAAATTGATTTTTCCTACTTTATACAGTGTTATCTAACTTATTCAAACAAAGAACCTTAGTTTAGCTTGAGTAATCAATTTACAAGATGCTATGAGATATTTAATACAATAAAGCAGGATGTTTTTTTCTATGAAACAGCAGCTTTCAGCAAATGTCTATCTTTTGTGGATAAAAATCAATGTCATATAGCGTATTAATGCTATAAGCTATTTTTTATCGCTATGAGTTATGTCTGGGTTAGGTGTAAAGTTTTTTATTGTGCTTTTATATGATTTCACTCTCTAACTTTTGAACATATACTGAATGATATTCAATACAGTTACGTGAATTATCCTCTAGTCATTTTTGGTTTAGTTCTCTAATGAATTGTACAACATCAATACTTTCCTAATTCAAATGTTTTTAGTTGCAGTTGCTATTTAGTCAACTAGTGATAATACAAAATCATCTGCTGTTAGAATATTGCAATTTACAATGATGATGTCATTAAATAAAGAAAAATAAATTTGGAGACATACTAAATTTTTATTAAGGTTTGTAATAATACTAGTAGATGTCATTCTTGTTGGGATAAAATTTACCACATGATTTATTAACAATCAAGTTATTTTATTTGTACATCTGTATGTATTGAAATGATTAAAAGTTGAAATGTTCTTTGATTAATTAAAATTTACTGAATTTGAAAAAGATAAAGAATGAGAAAGAGTTAGGGGTATAGTATATAGAGACCTGCTTGAGTTAGTGTATTACATAAGTCAGAAATGTTTGACTTATTAGATAGTAAGATGTTATTTAGTATAGTTGTAATGATCATTATTATATGTTATCTGATGATTAACTAATCATATTAATATATAAATCTATTTTAATAGTATAAAAGCATTCTAAATAATGATAGCTTTCTTGATTGTAATATGAATAATTAATAATATTGATAACATTAAAAATATCTTCAGTAAGTAATGGTAGCGGGTTTAGTTATTGCTCATATAGATTATCATCTCTGTTTATCTCATTATCATAGTGTTATATTAGTATTAGGATAATCAAAGAGATCATTTTAATACAATGAACTGTAGTATCACAAATAATTCTGTTAAATTAATACAATCAATAATTTACTAGTGAGATGTTTATAATGTAGAATATAATTATAAATATATCATTGGAAGAATTGTTAAATCATTTATAACAGATTAGGTAGTTTGAAACATGTTAGTTATGTTCTTGTTCTAATACTTATATTCATATTGGTAATATTACAGTTCAGATCCAAGATATCACACATTTTAGAGTAGATAACAAATCATTCCCAGTATAATAATTAATAAGTTATTGTACATATTTAGAATTTGTTTATATTATTTATTATCCAGAATGTTTAAAGTTGTAATTCACTTCAAAATTTATTCTGCTATGTCTAACAAAGAGTAATAAAATTATCAGATGATTGGGATATGAGTAGAATAAATAATATTCATTAACATTACTACAATAAAATTAATACATCCATGTAAGTTTAAAGATTCATTAGTTATTCTTGCTATCATATTACAGTCAGTTGATATTTTGTTCATATGATAATCATTAAACATACAATAAAATAATAGGCAATCATTTCTTTTAGACTGAAGGTATTGAGGGGAAGTGGTTGAGTATTCTTAGACAATCATATTTATAAAAAAGTAACATCATTGATAGATATCTTCACTAATGATAATATATGTATTAGGTAGGCTGTCTATAGCTTAAAATATCTCAGTTAGTTGTATTGAGTATAGTTAAATATAAAAACTTTTTTTTCTCAAAATTAACTTTCTGAAACGTATAAATAGTCAAGATATAGAAGTTAGAAATAATTTCTTTTACTTACGACTTTATATACGTAATACACAGTTTTGTAATAATATATGTATTATTTAATACTGTGAGCGATTACTTATAAAAATACGGTTCGTGAAGTTCCATTATAACTTATAGGTTATTACTCCACACCTTTTAAATTTCAACAGCTACAAAATATGTTTACATTGCTGTTCCAGCTTATTTTGAATTACAAAAAATTTTCAAATTTATTACCGAAGAAGAAAATTATGAGAAAGAAAGAAAACTATTATTAACTTTGTAGAATATTAAATATAAAAAGCAAAAGCCGTCCATATCTATGTTAAATAAAATTTTATCTAATCTTTATTTTGGGATTAGAACCCTGAGAATACTTCCTTATACAACTATTACGATTTTCAAATTATTAGTTACAAGTTGTAGAAAGTACTAAAAACTAGTAAGCACTTAACATAGTATGTGGAATATTGTTAAGAACATGAACAATCTAAACCTATCTGAAAACTTCTGGCCCAATTATGTGAATCATGATAGGGTGTCTTAGAAAAAAACTATTGGAATACTCTTTTACTATATAAATCCTTGATTATTTGTACAATATGAATAATATACATAACTTATAGAAATATGAAATAAACACTCTAACACTACTTAATCTTATTCATGGATTATGGCTACCCTATTATATTGAAATTCCTATGGTAATTATTAAAAAAACAAAAAAACGAGTCCAACAGATAGTGATTATGACTATATTTTGAATAATAAAAGACTACAAATGTTGCTAACTTCCTGTGTCACACTTGGACCAATAGATATTGTTACCAACGGAAGCAATATACATACGCCATGATATTTGCCAATCTTGAGTTTTGTCATCCTGTTCATACGTGTACATTTTATAATAGTCACTAACCCAACTTCCATCAACGTCATTAGTCAAAATTTCTTCTAACATATTCTCTAGTTCTCCACTTTTATATATTCCACCCCATTCAGATTGATTTGCACAGTAATCAAGTGCCATATAGGCGTTACATAAAGGTGCATAAACCGGATAGTTTGCTCTTTTGCTGAGATTAGCATTATTTCCGTTCCATATCCCAACCTGTGTCATTGCAACAGCACCAGTAGACTCAGAATGAGGATTAAAGATCAAATGGTAAACTATATCAGTAGCATTGTCTCTTAAGTATATATTAGGTAATTCAACATCTCTTTTGTTAAGTCCTGTATAGGATACTTCATGCCAACCATCAACAATATTACTAGCATACTGGTCAGAAAGCCAAGAAGTAACACACTCTTTGTCAAACGTATCTCCGATTTGGCAATGCCTCGCAATGTCTCTTTTCATTGCTGTAGGATCTGCACCCTCCAAAGCTCCATTGGGTCTTCCAGCATGCTGCCAACCAATATAAAGTGAAATTGCATTTAAACAAACAGATTTCGCCAAATCCAAAGACGCTTTACGACAATCCCAATTTGGTTCTTTTTTGTCACTTTCACATGCACTACAAACATTCATTGCCTTTTCGACCGTTGACGCAGAAGACTCAATAAAGGATCCCCAAAAGGCCACATTAGTAAGTATTGGTTTTTCTGGATTGAAGTATGAATATAGTGCAACTAGATTGAGATGGATTATATCATAATAAGGAAATGCACCACTCACAACTGGAACCAATAATGAAAAGAAAGTTAATGGTAGTACTCGCATCGAATAGTTAATCCTAAATATTAATTAACAAATGTTAAGTTTAACGTAGAATGAATTTAGGTGAAAACAGATAATACTATAAAAGTTATTGAATGCTTGCTTCGTTATGCATCTATAAAGTGCTCTTAGTGGTTTTTTTTGATGGTATTTTTGGATGATAATTTTAAAAATATTAAGTAGGTATTGGTTGTTCCCTATGGAAGTGAAAATTTATCTTCTTTATATAACAATTTTTCCCAAAATTATTAAAATATAGATATTTTTCGAAGAATCTTAAGAATAAGAAAACAACTAACTTCTCCATTATCAAAAATTCCTGTGGAATATTGTAGGTATTTCTTAATCAGAAAATTATAATATATGTAACAAAAACAGTAGGTTCGCAAAAAGGTAATATGGACTTCGAAAATCATCAAGATCTCTGGAAATTGGCTAAAAAAGAAATGTTTAAATAAACAAGCAAAAATTTTTTCCCACTATTTTATAATAAATACATAAACATATTGTCCGAAATAGGCAATGACTGTATACAATAATCTTATGATGAATACTCAAGATGTATTTATCCTCTTTCGTCCCCTCCCGTATGTTAGGACCGAGAATAGAGTAAATAAAAATATACATAATTATATGCATCGGTAACTAAATAATGCTTATTTCGAATTTATCTTTAATTCCTTCCTTCACCTCTTCTATATATATAAGAAAATTTTTCTCATCCAGTGAAAACATATATTTTTATACCAAGCACAGAATTAGTATCACAAAATATGACTTAAAATTAGCTGTTCCTGCATGTGCATTCTCAATTATATTCTTATGATTATTATATAGTTATTAGAATACAAATTCATTTTCCTTCCCCATGCACAATATTGGAGTAATAATATACAAAAAGTGTAAATAAAATGATAATTTGAAATTCTTGGTTTCATATGAGCCATTTCTCTCTACGAACAGTTACATCAATGTTTAGTGATAGTTGAACGAGGATTATTCAACAGTCATTGTTCTATCTATTTTATTTTGGAATATTTTATGTTAGCATATATAGCTTTAAGGGAAAATGTATCTGTCAGTCATCTGTTGGCCTCAGTATTAAAAACTTTTTTAAAATTACTATAATATTAACAAGATGGAGTGCTATAAACTTATAATAGGATATTGATGGTATTATAAATTCTTCGTTTACTTATAATATCAAAGAGATCTCTAATTATATATCAGTAAACCATATTCACAGCAATACGCTATGATACCACTACAATATCTCAATAATCAAATTCACTTCTATTCTCTTCTCTACTTTATACAGTTAATATTTTAAACTACTATTTGCAATAACATATCTAATTTTACTGACATCCCTAGGTACATGACAATTGCTACTATCACATTGTACTATCTACTACAGCTATCACTCTTTGCAATGGAGCAATACATTCTTTTACTATGTATAATGATATTTTATTATATTCCAACAAGACCATCTATCACATAGCAAAAACTATAAACTCCTTACATATACACTCTTGAATGATTTTCTTGGTTTAGATCTATTAATTAATTAAAACAAGACTGCTTATGGTTGATACAGAACTGTAACCACTAATATATGTTAACGCTATAATTGTTTCAAACAAACAGAATTTATTCTACTACAGCCACTCATTATACACATTATATCTTTCTGCTAAACTGCTCTCTTATCATTTTCCTTTCATTTTATTTTTCCTCTGAGATCCAATTTTTCTTAAATTTCAAAAACATTTTCAAGCAAATAAAAAAACACACACAGATATGAACAACTGTACAATACAAACAAGCATGTAAACAGTATGTATAAAACCAACTTATGGATGATCATGCATACTCAGTTGTTATCTATGCACTTCATATATTTACATAATATAAATATAAACATCGAGCTACTACCATTCAACATGATATAATCATACCATATTACATCTAACAATCATTCATGAATATACTTGATACAGTCAACTGAGATACTGTTAACGAAGGGAATACATTTATCAACTTTATACATATATGATTACTATGGAATATGTTTGGAAATAGAATACATTTATCTTTATGATATGATTATTTTATTACTATGATTATTTTATTACTATGAATATTTAGGAATACATGAACACAAATACTATCTCCCATCTAAATGATACAATTTGATATCACACATTAGTTTCACATCGTATTCACATTAATGCAACTATCATGAAATGTACAATCTGTTCATACAGCTAAACCTCCTACTATAATTATCAACACTATACCAACTACCAGCTACCATCTAACCACAACAAAAATACCACAATTAGATCACTCACAAAGATGTATTCTACAAATAACTAAAATTATATTTTTTTCATGAAGAATTATTCATTATAACTGATCGTCAATAGGTAAAATTCAATAATACTGTTATCTATCCCTACCACATCAACACCATGTATCACAATGATCAACATCAATTCAAATAATAAACATGCCACACCCTGTAATTATATTATAATTGAAAGTAAAATGGTTCAAGTATGGGATACACAACAGAATGTTACTTATTTACTGATTTGTATTAGATCTGTAGGAATTATTTTTTCTGGGCTACTATATTTATATACAAAGGTAGAACAGTCATTGCTTTAAGTGTTACTATGAACTTTACACTCAGGTTTTTTATTTTATACAGTGTTATCTAATTTACCCAAGAAAAGAACTTTGGATAAACAATTTTCAAAACACTATTTGATACTTAATACAATAAAACAGGAGATTATTTTCTATGAAACAGCAACTTTGAACAAACGTCTAATGTTTCTTTTGTTATGTCTTTTTTTCTGGTCAAGATCAATATTGTATGGTATATTATTGCTATAGATGTTTTTTACTATGAGTTACATGTAGGTAAGGTATAAAATATTCTACTATAGTTTTTATGAATAATAGTGCACAACAATATAGTACCACTGTCTGATTTTTCAAACATATATCCATTGATATATCATCCATGTAGATCACTTTCCACTGGTATTTGACTAATTTCTGTAATAAATTCTACTACATCAGTACTCTCCTCATTCAAGTGTTTTTAGTTGCTGTTGCTATTTAGTCAATTAGTGACAATGCAAAATCATCTGCTGCTGTTAGAATATTGCAATTTACAATGATGATGTCATTAAATAAAGAAAAATAAATTTGGAGGCATATTAAATTTTTATGAAGGTTCATACCAATACCAGTAGATGCCATTCATGTTGGAAATTAAACAACTGTTACCACATGATTTATGAATAATCAAGTTTTTTTATTTGTACATCTGTATGTATTGAAATGATTAAAAGTTGAAATGTTCTTTGATTAATTAAAATTTATTGAATTTGAAAAAGATAAAGAATGAGAAAGAGTTAGGGGTATAGTATATGGAGACCTGTTTGAGTTGGTGTATTACATAAGCCAGAAATGTTTGACTTGTTAGATAGTAAGATGTTATTTAGGATAGTTGTAATGATAATTTTGGATATGTTACCTGATGATCAAACAAACATATTAATATATAAATTTCTATTAAGAGTATAAAAGCATTCTAAATAATGATAGCTTTCTTGATTGTAATATGAATAATTAATAATATTGATAACATTAAAAATATCTTCAGTAAGTAATGGTAGCGGGTTTAGTTATTGCTCATATAGATTATCATCTCTGTTTATCTCATTATCATAGTGTTATATTAGTATTAGGATAATCAAAGAGATCATTTTAATACAATGAACTGTAGTATCACAAATAATTCTGTTAAATTAATACAATCAATAATTTACTAGTGAGATGTTTATAATGTAGAATATAATTATAAATATATCATTGGAAGAATTGTTAAATCATTTATAACAGATTAGGTAGTTTGAAACATGTTAGTTATGTTCTTGTTCTAATACTTATATTCATATTGGTAATATTACAGTTCAGATCCAAGATATCACACATTTTAGAGTAGATAACAAATCATTCCCAGTATAATAATTAATAAGTTATTGTACATATTTAGAATTTGTTTATATTATTTATTATCCAGAATGTTTAAAGTTGTAATTCACTTCAAAATTTATTCTGCTATGTCTAACAAAGAGTAATAAAATTATCAGATGATTGGGATATGAGTAGAATAAATAATATTCATTAACATTACTACAATAAAATTAATACATCCATGTAAGTTTAAAGATTCATTAGTTATTCTTGCTATCATATTACAGTCAGTTGATATTTTGTTCATATGATAATCATTAAACATACAATAAAATAATAGGCAATCATTTCTTTTAGACTGAAGGTATTGAGGGGAAGTGGTTGAGTATTCTTAGACAATCATATTTATAAAAAAGTAACATCATTGATAGATATCTTCACTAATGATAATATATGTATTAGGTAGGCTGTCTATAGCTTAAAATATCTCAGTTAGTTGTATTGAGTATAGTTAAATATAAAAACTTTTTTTCTCAAAATTAACTTTCTGAAACGTATAAATAGTCAAGATATAGAAGTTAGAAATAATTTCTTTTACTTACGACTTTATATACGTAATACACAGTTTTGTAATAATATATGTATTATTTAATACTGTGAGCGATTACTTATAAAAATACGGTTCGTGAAGTTCCATTATAACTTATAGGTTATTACTCCACACCTTTTAAATTTCAACAGCTACAAAATATGTTTACATTGCTGTTCCAGCTTATTTTGAATTACAAAAAATTTTCAAATTTATTACCGAAGAAGAAAATTATGAGAAAGAAAGAAAACTATTATTAACTTTGTAGAATATTAAATATAAAAAGCAAAAGCCGTCCATATCTATGTTAAATAAAATTTTATCTAATCTTTATTTTGGGATTAGAACCCTGAGAATACTTCCTTATACAACTATTACGATTTTCAAATTATTAGTTACAAGTTGTAGAAAGTAC